TTATAAAAAATTTTTAAAATTTACAAGTAAGCTTTTTTCAACAACTTCATAAGTTAGTAGTATTAGCAGAGGTTTTCGAAAAACGAAATATAGATTACTTTAACTATATTCTAGAGTGTCCAGAATATGAACCAATATGTATATATTAACTATGGTTTATTATAGTAGTGTAAGTAGATATATTTAATTGGCATAAATAAACAACAACACAAAAAAAATAAGGTGTATATATTGTGAAAAGTATGTATATTCCTAATCTTATATACTTGTATTCCTAATTAGCTGGACGAGACGAATCGATATAGCCATGTCCGTCTGTCTGCCTGTCTGTCCGTCCGTCCGTCTGTTTGGAAGAACGCCTGAATTTCGTAAACGGCTGAGCTCATATTGAGCGAACTTGGAACATAGACATAGACATACTATCCACAATTCCAAAGCTACAGAAATTGAACTTTAAGTTAATAATATATAAGTCTCTACCGTTGTTTTAAATTTGATCAAAATTAGTCAATTCTTTTAAAAGTTATTAGCGAATCAGCTTCACTCCTGAAGAACGCCTAGAAACTGCAGGAGCGGGTTCGCTCTTCTTCTTCTTTTTGCTTCTGATATGGGGGCATATAACACAATAGTAATAGTTTGTTTGCATTCAAGGTATTTCGTTCATTATCTCTTGTTATACTTCTTACCGGGTCTTGTTAATTCATTAATTTAACTGACACAACCTATCCAAAATGTGCAATTAGCGGTTTGTAATACATAAGTAGTATATGCATCAGCTCTTTCAGAATATATAATGTTGTCCAGAATGTATAAGCTAGTCTTAGACATGGGCGTTTGTTCGTCCATGTGTCTTTCCATCTCTCTGACTATCTGTCTGTATGACCGCTATTATCTCCAAACGTAAACAAATCTAGAGGTACCAAACAATTTCTTCTAGTTCCACAAAATACTCTTGATTCAGTTATCCAATTTGTATCTCTGTATAGCACAACTACGTCTATATACTTAGTTTTAATTGGAAATGTAATAATGTTGTGATTCAAGTGCCAACCTCTAATAGACACAGACATACGCATAGTGGAATGTACACAATATCTACTACCGTTGTATATATTGTATTATAATGCATTATTATTTTAATTATATCGAGTCCATAGTTTATAAAAGTTAAGTTGGTTTTAGTTTTAGGCAATAACTTAAATATTTTAACATAAAATGGTTTGAAGCAAATATCTTTCATGGAGATACATCTTGCAAACCATTGCTAGTAATACTCACTTGAAACTACTCGGTTGAAACCTAAAACATTTTATATTTTCCCTTATGCGGTTTCCTTTGCGTTTTGCAACATAACGTCCTTGCAACATAAGCAAACTTCAAACAAATAGTATTTGCCACTAGCTAAAGAATAATAATAATACTGAATTTTTCTATCTTGAGCTACAGCACTTGGTCAACATAAGTTAATTAAGGCTCGCTGCCTATCCGATAGCGCTGAAGAAAAAGATCTTGTGAATTTGTGGTCAATGAATTATTGGCTATTTTTTCCTAACATATGCATAACCTACTTATAATTAATTACATTGCTTACATATTATCTAATTAAGTATCCGCTCGGGGAGCCGGCCAGTTATGCCCCGATTAAAAGAGACGTAACAAAAACTTAAGCAAGTTAAGTAAAATTAAATAAAAAACTCAAACATTTATTTATTTATTTTTGTTACTCGAATGAAAAGCCAAAACTATTAAATCACTGCATAGATTGGGACTACTATAGCATATAGTATTTATAATTTCACGATCCCCAGTTTTGGTGTGTCTGTGAGAAACAGTAGGAAGCGCTGCTGAATTGCTGAGTTTTCGGGAAGGGGCCTTACGCTTTCGTTGCAGCTCCTGCATATATCATCAGATGGGATGCCAAGTCTGTCATATAAGGATATTAGACCAAGGTTTTTTAGCGTATTAATTTATAGAACTTCAATATCTTTATTAGCAATTAAAACGAACGTGTAGGGAACTTAAATACTTAAGGGAAAATGCGTCTTCAAAAACAGAAATCGGAGGCAATAGTTTCAAATACAACATTATTATGCACGGCGGGATCCATAGTTTACAGTGAAAACTCTCTTGGCCGGATACTCACGGTCGGCCAATTTTTGTCCGCCCAAGGGGAGTTTCCGCTTAAGGGAACTTAAATACTTTATACACCGATGGAATGTTTTAGAAAAAGTGTCCGCCGAAGAGACTGTCCGGATAAAAGAGGTGTCCGTTCAGTACAGTTATAACTCACTGTATTCGGTTCTAAAATTCAACATTGTTTTAAATAAATTTAAGTTAAACCACGAAAATATTTTAGAATCTTTTTTATTATTCCACCAGTTTCGAGTTCCTTTTTTGATTAAAACCAGAACCAACTTTGTATGAATTTTCTAGCTATTTATAAAGCTGTATAGTCGCTATAGAACATCAGAGTAGGTTTTTCTATCAGTCCTTTACTAAAAAGTCTTCATTATCGCAAAAACACAGTACATTTTTGGAGCATCACTACTGCCTGGTACTGTGAGTATATCAAGGATAACAAAATAAAATAATATAAGATTTCCCAATCTGCACTCGTATTGAACATGAAATATATGTATAAATTGCCTCAGGTATAGGGATGAAAACAATTTGAAGATACATACATAGTCTAAATTTCAAATAATGTTGTTCTTTAAAATTGCAGTTAAAGAAAATGAAAACGGCAAGATATCTTAATGCATGGTAATGTACCAGAAAGTTTCTTATTTCGAGCCATATTTGGCAAAAGCGTTAGTTGAATTGAAAGTAATGGAAAGAAATAGAAATGTGTTGTTGTCAGTTACTTGGGAAACAGGTAATCCTGAGCGAAACATAAATGTTTCCATGAGATTTGAGCCAACCATTACATGATCCGTACATTTGGCAGAACAGCGCAAGTGCATCCAATACCCAAGTGCCCATTCCCACAGCCCATTTGCGACAAGCGGCGCTCTGTAGCTGCTCAAGCGAAAGGATTTCTGGGAGCTGCCTGGCTGCCTCCTTGAAGCAACCCCATGACGGGAGCGGTGGCAAAATGTATTTACATGAGTACAACAAAGTAACTTCATTTAAATGTTGTAAGAATTTGTTTTCTATGTGTGCAACATTTGTGCGTATGTGTTACGCGCACGCACACACACACACACAAACGCAAACACAAACACACACACTGATTCGCAGGAGCTGTGGCTTGCTGTGGAGTGAAAATATGGAAGCCTGGGGACCTGGAGTGTGGAGTCTGACAATGTCGCGGCGCTTCATCATACATAAACGCTCTGACAGCGCACACTCTCTCTACCTCTCTCTTTCGCACAGTGTCTTGCCATCTCACTCGCCAGAGGCAGCGTCATCGTCGTCACTCCTCTAGAGTGGCGTTTCAATTAATTAGAAAAAGTTAAAGAACCCCCACGAAAAAAGGCAAAACAAAAAACAAATAATAACATGTAAAAGTACATGCAACAGCAATAGCGACGGCAGCAGCAACGGCAGCGGCATCGGCAACAGCAGCGCTAAAGATGCCACAGCAATCGCCGTTGCTGCCACCAATCCAGCGACAACGCTGACAACAACTTGGTCAGCAGTAACGGTGGTGGGGTCGGGGGCGGATTCGGAGGCGGTGGCAAAGGAAGAGGTAGAGGTAGACGCCGTTGCATATGATAAAACATAAACGAGTGGGGGGTGGTGGGTGGTGGGTGGTGGAGAGGAGTGGAAGTGTACGAGGGGAGGGGACGTTGTGCTGCAGCAACGGCCCACCCCTTTTCACGATTGTTTTCTTCTAATTTTTCTTATTTTCACTGAGCGAGCAGCAAGCAGCACTTGTGCTGTTGTTGTTGCTGTTGTTTATAGCAACAAATACCAACGACAGCAGCAAGTAGCAGCATTGCAACGACAACAACAACAACAACTTACAATAAAAACAAGAACAAGAACAACAACAGCAACAGCAGCATCAACAGCAGCGGGTACAAATACATACATCGGCATTTACAACAACATGCAATAACAGCCATTTTTCTAGTTGTTAAGTTAATTTTTTCATGTTCTCTCTCGCTCGCACCGTGTTTGCCACTTAACACGCGGCAGCCGGACAACTACAGCAGCAACAACAGCACCAACAACAACAACAAATGCCGCGTCGCTGCTGCTTCTGTTTCTGCTGCTGACGACGACGAGACACGGCTCGTCGTCAACGCTTGCGATTCGTGGGCAAGCGGCGTGCCCGCTATCTCGCTCGCACACCCATTGTTAAGCGGCCAGATACTTTATTTATGGCACACACGTATTTCCCAGATACTTTTTGTGGCGCAACCGGTTCGCGTGTTCGGCTCGTGCGTGCTCTCTCGCACACACTATGGCCATCTCGCTTACACACAGGCAAGCGCCATGCATACAGTACAGCCCACTTTTAATGATTATCATTATTGCCGTTGTTACGGTACGTTGTTGTTGTTGCTACTTTTTCTGCCGTCGCTCACACGCACTCACACATGCACAATATAGAGAGGAGCGCGCGCTTGAATGAAAAACTCGCACACATTCAGGCGAACACATAAAAATAAAGGGAGAAACAAGTTTGGCCACCACCACTGCAACAACAAGTTCGTCTCGCAGCTCAGCGGCGTTTTCTCTCTCTCTCTCTCCCTCTCACGCATACTAGCAAAGATGCGCGTCTGTATGCGAGTATCTGCCGAGCATTGTTGATGTAGTGGTGCATTGTTGTTGTTGCTGTTGCTGTTTTAGCTGTTTTCGATTGTCGGTTGTCGTGTAATTCCCATTTGTCGTACACTTTGTAGTTGCTCAAGAAACTCATGTTAGTCTACTTTTGACTGTTACGCAGATTGTTCGTATCGTTCGTGTGTGCCGTGTTCGCCGTGCCGCTCCGTGCGTTGCCGTTCGTCTGCGCCGCTCGTTCGCCAGCCAGTTAGACAGCCAGCCAGCCAGCCAACAAGCAAGCAAGCAAGCTAGCCTTGTGTATGATAGCCGCCAACTCTTAGCTTGGTTTGCTCGTTTTCGTTTTCCATCGCTTGCCGTCGCGCACTCGCCGAGGCATCTGAATCCGAGAGTATCTGAATTGCAATCTATGCCATATTTAACAGCATCGCCTGAATTGTACGCCTCGGTGGCAGTCATAACCAAAACTTTGGCTCGGAATTAAGCGAGAACTCGAACTCGAACTCGTCTGTATTCGAACTGCAAATCCACAAATTGTTTGTTTCACCGACGGTGCTCAAAAAAAAATTAATTACCTTTTTATGCACGCGCAAATCTTTAAGCTATAATTACATTTTCGCTCGCCCGTGCACACATCCACACCCACACTCATATGCACACACGCACATACACACGCAAACACACACACGTTCAGTGAATGCAAGCAACTGCAAAGAATTTAAAACAAATTAAAGTGCAACAAACAAATGAGAAAAACAAGTGCAAATTATCGAGAAAACAAATTCAGTTAAGCCTCAAAACGTGCACCTAAATTACTGCTGCAAAAATAATTGTAAACTAAAAGTTTGCTCTGAAAATTGTTCGGAAATCATCAACAACGCCATTATAGTATCAACAGTGGATCCCAACGATCCAATCGAATTTGTGCAAGTGCGCGAAGTTCTTTCTGTTCCTTCCTCAAGATCTGTGCTGTGCCGTGCCTTTGAGTTTCATTTGGAGTTTAAGTTTGAAACCAAAATTTAAATTAAATGACAGTGCACAGTAATGAAACCGGTGTCTGTTTAGTAATGGTGCGTATATCACTTAATATTTCAAATACTTATCTGTAGTACTGGTCCCGAAAGCAAGATCAACGGCAAGGCAGCGGATTCGACATAGAAATAGTATGTGATTATAAGTGGAATCCAGTCAACTAGAACAGTCAGATCAAATAGGAATATCCATGTCACAGTCGCGAGCACGTAGCTTGTCAATCATTCCAGGCAATTAGCATATAGTATGCGTTTGAACACCCAACTAAATTACATCTGCATTCGGCTAGTTGTACTTAGTATCTCACAGTCAAAGCCTTTTAGTAGCATAACCAGTTGGAACTTCATTGGATGTGAACGGACTAGGAATTTAAAGCAATTACAAACATGCAATATGCTAGCTTTTATAAAATAAAAATCGAAGACTTGAAAAATATTAATCATTTTGAGAAATGCACTTAAATTGATAGAAACGGCCATCTATAGCATGAAGGTCAAGCATTTATCATTAAGTAAATGGGTTACTAAATCGAATAAAGTAAACAATCCTGTTTCTGCCAACTCTTTGAACAAGTGTAGAGCCATCACTATTACCAGCTGCCTAGTACTCTAAATAGTAGCCAAATATTCCGGTTAAAGTTCCATCCAAGACCTTTTAAGGTTCGGTTTTAGTTGCATTTCAAATCCATTCGGTACTCTTCCCATCTAACATGTTGCAAATCCTTGTTGAAATCAGTCAATGAATCGTTGAATCAACTCAAAAGCATCTATGGATGATCGTGCTTTTCAAATTTTAAAGCAATTCCAATTCCATATGGTTTTATTCCACCAAATGAATATTTGGAGAAACGTTTCTTTGACGGGCTGTACTGTAAGCCAAAGATCCCAAGAACATTTCAGGATCAAGTGCCACAAATATGCAGAGAACATGCACATCTACCTCATTTTTTTCTTTGTTTCGAACAACTAACACGTTGTTCGCCTTTGACAAGTCGCAAAGCTCGTGAAAACATTTAAAAATAACACGAGCAGACAATTCGAAATCGATGTCTGCCAAAACTTGCCGTGTATCCCGAAATGTCAAGCGCACATTTGTGCTACATTTGTGCTACATTTGTCGAGCAGCCGGCAGCGAACTTTTCGTGTACACCAAATACCAATAGTATCTTATAGATGCTTGCATTTGTGAGCAAGACAGCTAATCGCTGTCTGTGTGCACCATTTCGTTGCAATGGCGGCGGCGGCGGCGTCGTCGTCATCATCATAGTCGTCCGCCTAGAGAGGATTCAATTTTAATTACATTTTGCTTGTCGGCCCATTCGATGTGACGTTGATGCGGACGAGTGTTTCTGTTGTATCCCACAGATACTTACAATGTACGCTGTTTCCGCTAGCTTGTTCGTATAGTTGTAGATGGTAGCTTGTTGCCAAAAACCTTGTGCAATTTGAATGGCAGCCATCCATTCGCTCCCTGCCCCCTGCCCCCAGTTCCCCGCTCCCATCGACAAACTGTCCACAGTCTCTAAATGCTCTGCTCAGGCCTTAATGTGTGCGCATGTTTTGTTCGCTTTTGTGTGTGTAACCCGATCCCATTGGCAAATATGGCAACTTAACGCTGCCTCGCTGCTCAAATGTAATCAATTCAACATAAACTTGACACTTAAACACACACAGCAAACAACAGAAATAACAAAAACAACAGCGCGCCCATAAAATGCTTATGATAAACAAATAAAATGAATTGCAACTTGTAGCCTGGACAGAGAAAACGAAAACTGAAACCACAACTAAAATTGAAGCCGCAGCGAAAACACGAATCGCCCGATAGATAAATTCCGCACACACTTATATTGCATATGTTTATAACATTTTTGCACACTGTACCCGGATGGGTATTTCGAATTGCAATAGTATTCTATGGAGTGTGGACTGGCTCTGTCAGAATCTGTAGTCTATTTATTTTCGATTGGTATGAACGTGGTCTGAATGAATGCCCCGATTTCGCGAAGTATGGGCGCTCGAAACTCCAAACTACCAATACCTAAATTAAAATTTAAAATTATATATTATGATAATAAATAGGTTTCTTTCAAATTGTGAAACATCTTAGACTATAACTAATTGCCCAAATACCGAAAGAGAATGTTCTTTTTTTAAAATAAGGTGGTTTATATAAACCAATACTTATAATCAAAATTAAAAATTATACTTATAATAAATAAGTTTCTTTGGCTATATTTAATTGCACAAAAAAGTCCCAAGTTCTTTCTTTGAAACAGGGTGGTTTATTTTAAAGTGTTATTTCAATGCGGACGTTCTTTTAAACCAACTACCAATATTTACAATCCAAATTTAAAATTATACTTAAAATAAACAAGTTTCTTAGGCTATATTAATTGCACAAATAAGTCCAAAAGAGAATGTTATTTCTTTGAAATATTGGGGTTTATTTGAAAGTGTTTTTCAAATTCTGACGTTCTTTTCAAACTCATTCTAATCAGTCGAACAAGTTTTAGTTGAGTTATGGTTTGGCATTGTAGTTACACTCTGATACGAAAGAACCAATACACAATTTTAGTAAAGGGTATTAGTATTTATTATGATCGCACATTTTGTTTTTAATTTTGACAGCTCTACAAGTATTAGAACAAGTTATCTGTAGAAGAATGTTTATCAAAGTAAAAATGCAAACGGTTGCCGCTGGACGCTCTTCAATTCTGATTTTCAATTCCGATGTCACACAAACAAACAAAAAGACAGACGGACGGACAGACAGCGGACGACAACGTCGTACAATCGACGGCGGCTGATTCAAAGCGTCCGCCTGTCTTCTGATAACCCGGAGCGTTAGTGAATCGAGTCATAAGTCAATTTGGCCGTGCACAGAGCAAACGCCGGGAATTAATTTTTAATCGCATATGGCCACTTGAGTTGTCACTTGGCGAGCAGCCGGCAAGAGCATCCATCCATCCAATGGGCGATACCCAGTACCCAGCAGTGGCCCTTTCGCCTAGACTCTTGCGCTCTCTCTAGCCAGTGTGTTGGTATCAATCAAATGTTTACGCTGCAACTCGCTGCCGATAAAAATCGTATCTTACGCCTTGGATCATTTGTAAAATGTTAAATGTGTGTGGAGCAGCCAAAGCAGAAGGCAGGCACACACAAAGCTAACGAAAGCAGCCAAAGAGACGACAATAAATAAACTTGAAACTTGTTTGCCTGCCTCGTCCACATGTCGCAGTCGCGGTCGGAGTCGGAGTCGGAGTCGCATAAGCGAGTGCGTGCGGCTGCTGCCACAGCCACAGCCACAGCCACTGCCTCTGCCACTGCCTCGCCGCTGCAGTTGTTTGAGTAAAAGTGTTGACAAAAGTGCCCGATAGGCTGAAGCCCGGCCACAACAGAGCCAGAGAGGAGACCCTGTCCCCCATACCCATACCCATACCCAACACAGAATCGAAAGACGACGGACGGGCCTTTGAACAGGCAATCAAATTGCTCTTAGGACGTTGTCGTTTCTGTCGTTCTTGTTGTTCCTGTTGCCGTTGCTGTTGTTGCTGTTGTTGTTGTTGTTGTCGCTGCCAGCAATCGGCTGTGTAATTTAAATCAATGTTGTCAATCGAAAACATGATTTGTTGGTAATGGCGGTCTCACTTTGAAGCCTGCAGCAGCAAACGGAGCTCACGAGAGTTCCATTTTTATTGACTCAGCCGCAACAACAACAACTGGAAGCCTCAGTGGATAGGCAAGCAGTAGGGTTAGGTAGGCAGGCAGCCCCATGACGCTTATCACACTGATAAGCGCAACGTTTTTAATTAAATTTTTGTTTCCCCCGTTCTCTAGTAGCCAACAGCTATTGCTATTGACGCTATTCACGCTCTCCTTCTGTTCTCTTCTTGCCTGTTCACAGAATGCCGTTTCAACTCGCCTAGCCGCTTCATCGCCCACCACGCCCACCAATACCAACGCCGCACAGACGCCGCACTCACAGCAGCCGCCACCGACGCTGCCGCCCACATCGACAACACTGCCGCCGCTGCCAGCGCTAGCCGCTCCTCAGCCCACATCTGGGCCCGGCGCCTCTACGGGTCCCACGCTTACGGCCGCAGTTGCCGCCGCTGCCGCTGGTCTGCCGGTTGGTCTTCCGCTTCCGGTGCCCGCGCATAGCGGCATGGCCGTGACCTCGACAGTTCCGCCGGGAGCGCGATCCAGTTCGCCCTGCGCTGCAGCCGCCACGCCCTACGGCGCTGCCGCTGCCGGCAGTGGCGCAGCCACAGGTCCGCCTTCTTTGCCCTCGGTGGGCCCACCTGGCTTGGGGGTACCACCGCCCTCGGGTGGCAATCCCAACAATCGCTGCTGTGATACTGGCCGCACTATTTACACAGATCCCGTTAGTGGACAAACGATCTGCTCCTGCCAGTACGATATGCTCAGCTATCAGCGCCTGGCAGCTGCGGGAGGCCTTGTGGCCGGACCTGGTGGTGTGCCCCTCAGCGTCTATCCCGAGGGCATGTCGGCCTACCTGTCCGGCATTGCAGCCGACCAGCCGCCGTTCTACGGTAATCCGGTAAGTGCACCCCAACCTCTACTCGTCCCATACGCATAGCTAGTTCGTCGTGCCAAACATAGCCACACATAGCACATGTCTCCCAAGTTCATGTCCATTAGTCATGCGGCCAAACAATGGCGCAATAAATTTGTGAATTTGTCCAGTCGTGGAGCAACGGACCACCACCGTCGTTGTCGTCTCCGTCGCCGTCGCCGTCTTGGTCGGCTTTGTCGCCATTTGATCGTGTGCCAAAGAGGACCAAAGCGGGTCTTCTTGCTCCTGAACATGTGTTGGGCAGCAGGTTTTCGGCTCTTGGCGGTGCACTCAAAAAAACCGATCACACAAGCTTTAAAAGAGCTCCCGAATCAAAAATATTAAACATCTCTTTCAGTACACTATCTGACTGCTACAAAGTTCTGATGAGGAATCTACTGAGAAGAGCGAAATAACTAGATTGTTCGAAAGATCCTTGCAAAACCGACTTCAAAAAAGGAGGAGGGTTTTCAATTTTTAAAGCAATAGAACATATAATTTTTAAATGCTTTGTAGTGGTACGGACAGGAAATTAATTTTCTCTAAAAACGCACAATTTGTATTAGGTTCCTCCTTTAGGTAGAAGAGGCAGAGAGGTCATTCATCAAAAGGGTTCCAATTATTTTTACACATTTTTAAAATGTATTGAATATGGAAAAATATGCTAAAAAGTTGCTAAAAATCTAAGTGAAGATTATTTCATTGAAGAGCCCCGCTATTGCGAATGCTTTAGGTATGTTTCGAGTGTTTATTTCTGCGAGTGTATTCTAGCAGATTTGTCAGGCCTTGGAGCTAGCGCTAGTGAGTGCCACGCTTAGTGCCTGACCTTTTTCTTCAGCCGCCCACCTCCAGCTGCGCTTTCGACCATATTTCAAGCCGTATTTAAGTCGCAGACAAAACTGCGAAATATTTCTGACATTCGACTCTTGACTCTCGCTCTCGACCTGCCGCTGGCTGTGGCTGTGGCTGCGGTCTCAGCTTCAGCGTCAGCGTCAGCGTCCTCCCCAGCCTCATTCGCCTCAGACTCTGCCTGCTGCCGACAATGTGGCATTGGAACGTCGGACTGTCCGGCACTGCGCCGCCTGTCCCTTTGTTCGCCGAATGACTCCTAATAGCAGCGTGTAATTTGCCTTTGTTTGCAAACAATTCTATTTGGTTACAATGCTCGGACCACATGCGGCGTTAGGGGTCAGGACCCACACAGCGATGGTTCCTGCGGTCTGTCCGATGCTCGTGACGCTGCGTTTCACTTGAATTTCTGTTGCAATCACTGACGTCCATTGAGGTCCATTATGTCGTCGGTCGGTTACATACATACTTGTACACATGTATGAGACGATGCTCAATCAATCGGACGAGAGCCAGCGTCCACCTAATTAAACAATAAATTCCTCAAAGCGCCCGTAAAAACCCGGCGACAAGTTATAAACCAAAGATGGTCTGATGTTGTTGTTGCTGACATTAATTTAGTGTTTATGTTCGACAAAATCGTCGCTCTTTGTCTCTTTTATGATTATGCATTATGCATAGCTAGATGATGATCCAAAACTCATTTAATATGCTCCAATAAAAATTCGAATTTAACGCATTTATTTGCTTACGAGTGCAGAAGAACAGAAGAGAAAAAAGAAACCCATACACTTACAAACACGCACATAAAACCAAAAATAATAACAACACTTTGGGCAACAGCAATAAAACAAACAAAAAATAAGCTGACGATCGTGAAACCGAAACTGGCAGTTTAATGAATGGCCCCTTCAGCGGGTACCTCAATGTACACCCGCTGCCCCAATCCCCCGCCTCCCCCAGCTCATCCATTCCGCTCACCGATCTACGGGCCAGTTTAACTGTCGCTGTCAACTCGACTCGCTTCAGCTTTTGAGCGTGCCAAAAACGGCAAGCGAAATGTTTCAGATGCAAATTTAACAAATTCGCCAACAACAAATCAGGTGCCAAGCAGTGCGACAAACAGATGTAGAGTATACGAGCATGTAGTAGTATGAATGGTCTGATCGTGATCTAATGAATGCGATTACTGGCTCGGCCGTTCATCTGTACCTGCCGACTACCATTTTCTGGGACGTGTAAGCGCGTACCTCCACAATTGTAACAAAATCCCCAGCGACATTATTAACATGATTGATTTCGATTGTTGTATCGATCACGCAGCAACGCACAGTGGGACGGTATCGATAAAGCGGAAATAAACAAAGCTTTCTTTTCAATGTCGTTGTTGTCGGCTCAACACTTAACCCCGACTTCAATACCTTGTAAATGAACAGAGACAACCGAATTCCCACAACGAATATATTTACTCGCGGAAATTAAATGTCATGCATAATGTATCAGTATGCCTGGTACATAGTATCTATAGATGAAATTCTTTAATTTCCTGACACAGATAAAAAAAACAATCACATAGAAATGACAATTTTACTTCTCATACCATAACGTCTACTTCATAATTGCTAATAAAGGCCACTTTATGCTTTTCTATTTTAGAATTTGATTTTTTATAAAAAAATAAATATAGAACGCTTGCTCTAGTTCCCTGTTTTAGTGGCACGCGACACAAATCAGCATCTTTTCGTTTATAGCTGGCTTGATCGGCTTATAAAGAGTTTACAAAAACTTGCCTAAATATTAAAGTTATTTACTGGTCGATAGCGACCAAAAGTAGTGATAAATTCTTATCAGTTTTGGCAGCGATGAAGCCGTATTCATTTGTATGTATTATAATCGTGAATGACATCGATAGCACGTATTTGATTGCATACCCTCGCCACTGTTTTGAAATAAAAGTTGTATCGATAAAACAGTCCATCATTCATATGTTTCTTGAGGATTTTCATATGGAGGTTTAATGTTTTTGATGTGCATACTGCCTTAACAAACAATTATGCAAACCTAACTGTAGTTATAGTTACAATCGAAGCTAGATAATTTTTTAAGTCTTTGATTTTGGTAAAAATTGCTATCGGAATCCGGGTCCAAATTTATGTATCTCATACATGTTTGATTCGTTTTGGGCTTCCAATCATTAACTGCGATTCTAAAATGAAATGCAATTATAGGTTTACCTAAAATTGATCAATATAAAACAATTCATAACGTAACGATTACTTTTCGAAATGTAATTTATTTCAAATTAGGAATTGAATCATGATTATTTTCTATTTCAATTTGATGCTGAAAGTTCATCACTTAGTTGGTGATTGAAACAGACCCCTCAGATCTTTGTTCCTTCCCTGGGATGTGTAAAGGTACATTGTTTTGGGTGTGAAACTTTGCTTAAATCGCTACTCCCTCTTTTCTTTCTGCGGAATATATCTACTATGGCGCTTTTAAAGAAACTATATTATTTAATCTGATGGTGTTGCTTCATTCGTGGACTAATAATACGGTGAGCACAGTAGGATGCATGACCATAGACGAGTAAGGTTTTTGTTTTGAATTTATTTAAAAAGACATTTTCATTTTTGAAGATTTGAATAGATTTTATTTGTTGATAAACCTTCCTATTGAACTATTGATTTTTCTCCAGTGTGACCTATGCCTGACGCATTAAATTTTTTACAGTCGCTGGTGTTGCTAAAATAAAGGGGAAAGAAGTTAATAAAATAAATAAAACAAAGCCATAGGAATTTGAAACAGTGAGCTGCGCGCATCGGTTGCTGTCAGCAATAAAATCTTGGCAGCCACTTAAAAATTGATTTGCATTTGAACAATCGGAACTTAAATCAGCTGCCCAGACCAAAAAATTAAACCGGCCAGAGTCGTCGCCAGTAGCAGCGATTTTGCATAAATTTCGTTTTATGTATTTGTTTCTGGTTTTCTTTGTTTATTTTTTTATTGAATGGTACAAATTATGAAAGGCGCATTTTCAATTTGGCGATGAGTGATTAAGCGCTATCCCCTGTCCCCCCCACCAACGGCGATGGAGGGAGAAAAAGAAAAAGTGTCATGCCATGGGCCTACAATTTTTACTGTTCGACGGATGGGCCCGAATTCATATTAATTGCGGCGTTTAAAAGTCAAACAGCTCGCGTTTTCCACTGCAGTTCTATGCTGCATAAATCATCCAGCGGCCGTAATTAGTCACTAAGGCGTTTCCTCCACACTGCCGGCGCCTTTACACGCCTAAACTGGAGCAATTTTTCATTGCATCTATAGAGAGTTTATAGCGTGGCTGGGCGGTTGTAAAAGTGTCGGTTGGGGTCGGTGCGGAGTGGTGCGGTGCGATGGATTCATTACTTTGACACGAGCTGTCAAGCGGCTGTCACTTTGCCGCAGCGAAGGAATATATTTTTCTCCGAGCTCTGTACGCTCGGTAAGGCGTGTACTCTCTTTATAAGATATGTATGGCTTATAAGGTGGATGGAAGGTGGATGATTCGGCGGCACTCTTGTCATTTCAAATGGCTGAGAAACACATTTGAAGAGCACCGCCTGCTAGCATATACGAGTAGAGACCGTCCCCATTCCATTCCATTCACAGTTCCTGGATGTGTTGAGGGCGTCGACTGACTGTTTGCCGTTCGTCGTTTGCCTTATTAATAAATTTGTCAACACGCAAGTGACAGCCTGTCCGACCTGAACAGCCGTCAGTTTTATCTGTTTATCCTTAAGGTCGTCGAGGCATATGCTGCATCCTGAACACGTTTGCGCGTTTTCAGCTGTTGCCCAATTAGGCAATGATGAACTGTCTGGACTGAACTCCACTCGACTCGACTCAACTCGAATGGTGTGTGCGTGTGCCCCATTTTCCATTTCCATTTCAATTCCCATACCCACTTCATTTTCACCAAAATCGTATATCTTTCAACTTTTACACTTGGCCTGGCCGACGCGCCCTAAACCAATTGTCTAGCCTCTCCTATCCGCTATCGGTGTCGCCCGCTCCAACCCGCTCTCTGGTACCACCAAGCAAGCGGTCGTTGGGTGTTAAGCACTTGATGCTTGAAGAACTGCAAAATGGCTATG